TAAGAAATAATTTTATCAATGATGGACATGTAATACGAAATTTAATGTCAACCTAGAAATCAAACTATTTTTCTTTTTGGGTGGTGGGTTCATGGTTTGGGTCAAATGATATCATAGATAAACAAAAATTAAGTGTGATAAGTAAAAATTTTTTATATAATGTAAATGAAATATATAATTTAAAGGGAAATTATAGTTAAAGCCGGTTGTACATTTAAAATTAGGTTGCAAGTTGGTCTAGAAACCAACAAAACTCTGACAATCGGCTCTACATTTCAAATTATAAAAACCCCCGCCATGTCATTGGAGGCTTATCTAGCTATTACCAACATGGGACTCCTAATCCATGTTGGACACAACAAAAAACCTATATCAAAAATAGGTTTTAGTTTCTCTCCCGCTCCCTCTATCTCTCGATCTCCCTCCCTTCTCTCTTACTCCCATAGTCACCTCTCGATCTCCCGCTCCCTTTGTCTCTCCCACTCTCTCAGCTTTGATCTATAACCAAATCAAAATCTCTCTTTCTCTCTCTCTCAATCAATATCTCCTTTCTCAGTCTTTCTCCTACTCCCTCTATCGTTCTTTTTAATTTTTCTTACAAATTTATACAATATTAATCCGATAGTATAAAAAACTAAAGGGATCAATCACTTGTACAATCAAGATATAAATTTCTATCAAGTTGGTGTAAATTTCATAGTCAAGAGTTTCTTGTGAATTTTTATCAAATTGGTGAAATGATTTTTGAACCATACCAAGTTGGCCTCATGTTCTTTTATACGGTCTGATTAATACCATATAAGTGTGTAAGAAAAAAAAAAAAAAAAAAAGAATTGAGAGATGGAGTGGGAGAGAAACTGAAGGAGAACAATAGAAATTAAGGGAGAAGGAGAGATCGACCGAGAAAGAGAATAAGAGAGATTAAGGGAGAATGATAAGTAGAGAGAGAATGAGAGAAATTGATAGAGAGAACATAAATATTAAAACCGAAAACCATTTTTATTTATTTTCAAATCACACAGTCATTGAGCAGAGAGAGACGACTCTGAGAGTGAGAGGGAGAGAGAGGAAAAGAAACTAAAAACCCTTTTCTTATTTTCCAACCACCTAGCATTAAAGGGCAATTTTGGTATAAGATTTTTGTTGTGTCCAACATAGATTAAGAGTCTCATGTTAGCAACAGCCACATAAGCCTCCAATGACATGGCAGGGGTTTTTATAATTTGAACTGTAGAGCCGGTTGCTAGAGTTTTAAATGTACAACCCACTCTGATTATAATTTTCCTTAATTTAAAATGAATCCGAAAGCAAATCTATTTTCTTATCTAGATGGTGGGTCAATGATCCAACTTTTCAAAGAAACCATAATGTCATAATTGAATAATAAATATTTAAAAAATAATAGAACACCAAAAATAAAATTGTACATAATTTGTAGAAAACATTTGAGAACATTTCTAATGTTAATATTCATCATATTAAATAAAAATAATTGTTAAAATAAAAGTTTTTTTTATTTATGATAGAAATGGAATACAAAATTTAATAATAATAATAATAATAATAATAATAATAATAATAATAATAACAATAATAATAACTGTTATTTGCTACAAAGCTAGCATTTAAGTTTATTTTTAATCATATTATTGCTTTTGTTAATTTTCAATTTTTATCTTAACTATGATATATCTAAAATTCAAGTAATTAATATGAAGAAAATTTTCTCACGTGCAATGCATCTGCTTAATTACTAGTTTCATTAAAAGCATAAAGAGCATGCTGATGAGGAGAGATTTCTCAACAACTGCAAAGCAGGGGAAAAGAAAAAGACAAATGGAAAAATTAAAATAGTACATCATTATCCCACGAAATATTATCCCAAAGCTCACTAAAATGCCTAAAATGCACACCCTAAAATATATTACTAACAGAAGCCCATTTGATCAGAATTCTTTCAAATTTTGCACAAAGTTTTTGAGCAGGAAAAAAAAGGTCTTCAAACAGGAAACCGTCCTTTCTATCCAGATACACCAACAGATCACCAATGGGGTTAGGTTCCAAAGTAACGTGCCACTTTAACTAAAGACCTTCAACCGCCAAGAGGAGAACAGAGAAGCAATATCCGGAGGAATAACCCAATTCATACCAAACAGCTTTAAAGCATGAGACCACACCCTTGCTGAAAACTCACAATGGACTAAAATATGCTGAATATTCTCCTCAGCTTTCCCACATAAGCAGCAGTGATCGACAATGATGTTAACTAAACCATTCTTGGCCTACAGAGGTTAGGTTTTTTGGTATAAATGGAGGATATGGATCAGGAGTTGCTTTAATAACAAATACTACTTTGTTCTTGTGAATAGTTCTATTTAGCCAAGGATTTTTTTTCCTGCCAAGTAGGGAGCCCAACAGTGACACATCCATGTTGCCTCTGCTATTCACTTAAATATATTTACTTCTAATTACAGGTTTCAAGGCAGGTTCCGAGGGTGTTTCAATATCTCATTTGCAATTGCTGATGTTATGATTATAAGATAACAGTGAGGAAAGAGTGTTAAATATATCATTCTAATCAGATGCTTTGGGAAACTAAGTTGTAAATTAACCTTGATAAAAGCAATTTCGCCAATGAACTACTATTTTACCTCTAGGAGGAAACCCTAGATCTTTTGTCTTTTTAGATGAAAAGTTAAAGAAAACCCTAGGTTTGTCTTTTGGGGGCTATGGTGAAAAGATGCACTATGAGATAGTCTTGCTAGAAGAGAGGAACTATATCTCTTTTAAGGAAAGGATTGGTCTTATCAAGACCACACATTTAACTTCCTAGTTTACTTGTTAGTTTCTAGAGCCCTAATAAAAGTGACCAAAATCTTAGAGTGGAGCATCGGGAATTTCTTGTGGGAGCTAGGTGACTCCAAAAGGGACTACCTTTCTTGTTGGGTGCTCTGATAAACTATGGTACTCTAATAAACAGTATCCATGGCAGACAACCAAATGGATGTAAGGCAAATTGACATCCAAAACAATTTTAGCCTATCGTTGGGCAGTTATCCACTCCATTCTTGACTTGTTTCACAAATACATCAGGTATGCTCCCAGTAAGGGAAATACAGTTAGATTTTGGGAAGGCCTTTGATGGAGAGAATATACTATATTTCTTCTTAAAAAAAAAAAATAATCCCATTATCCTCCTTTGTCTTCTCCTCTAGCACTTACCCATCTTGGAATTTTGGCTTCAAGACAAGCATTTAGGGATCATGAGGTTTTGAAGGTTATACTACTTGTTGAAACTTTAGAAGGCCTATTTTTGGATCTTAAAGAGAATAACAGAAGAATTTAAACATTTGATCACATTGGTTATTTTTCTTGTGTTCTTTCTTAAGGCCATCTTTTATCAGCTGCTCTTTTTAAAGGCCATTATACCATCAAATCAGCTCCGTGTGGCTTTTCCATCTAAAGATCAATACTTGTGGAAGTCTTTCTAAAAAAAGGATGACTTAGAAAATATCGTTATATGTGTGCTTTCCATTTAAGGCTGATGTAATATTAGGTGTATGCCGCAAGGGGCACTTTAGTCTTTTTCTCCTTTCCTTTAAGTTGTACGGTCGCCCTAGTATATATAATAAAAAAGGCTGGCGCCGCCAGCATAATCTTGTGTCTCTCTCATCCTCTTTCTCTCTTCTCCTCTTCTCTCTTTCACTTCTCTTCTCTTTGTCCACTGTTCTATTGACTAAAACAAAGGCAAGTTGTGAAACCACTATCCATCTACTAATATCTTCAACTGTGAATAGGATTTGAGAACAAAAAAAAAAAAAAAAAAGTTCAGCCTATAATCAAGGAGGTTAGAAAGAAAGAAACTAAGGTGATGAATGCCAACATCTTATTAGACTTCTAAGGGGATCTTGCTCATGGAGATAGCCTCCTAATCAAAATATGGTGAAAGCTTAAATCTCCACGATGGATGAAGTGAAAAAACTGAGCAACCTGGATCCTACCAAGATTAAGGGTATTTTTGCAAAAGAAATAGGAAAAAAGAGTATGTAAAAGATTATTCATCAATACTGAAAGGCACAACTGCACAAGACAGGAAGTGATTAAAGCTCAAAGTTTCTTTCTTTTTATTATCAATAAAATATTGAATTTTCAATCATTAAAAAAAGTTGAAACCTAACAATCTCTAAAAGATTACTTCTTAAAGAGAATGTTGTGGGTAGAAAAGATTTTTTTTTTCATTGGTAATGTAGGAAGCTTTTTTAATAAAAATTAAAAAATATATATTATGAACAACGTAGGTCGACCCTATTTTTTAAGCTAGCCAAAGCTACCTAACCCTATAATTCTTGGATTACAAACACCATTAAACAGTTACCCCCTGGTACATTTGTTCCCTGTTTACCCCTTGTTTGGCCAATGAATCAACTAGGTTGTTTGTTGATCTTTGGACCAAAGTGAACATGTCAACTAATTCTTTCCAAATGTTTGATTTCTCTCAATTTGTGGCAGAGTTACCACGTTCCATGGCTGCCATTTCTTAACTATCCCACTATACCTTTGAAATCCCCTTCCACCACTATGTTCCCGAATTCCAAACTCCTGTGGTCCTGCCCATCCTTTGTCCTTCTACAGCTAGCGGTTTGACTCTTCCAGAATCTCCCATTCCTATGGGTCCTAAATAAATAGCTAGAATGAGAAGGGATGTAGAGACTTTCCAACATTATTGAAGAGACCCTATTATTTTGCATTTTCCATAAACATCAAATTTTCTCAAGTTAGATCAGCACATTATACACTGGATGTTCTTGAGAATGAAGGAATTATTACAGCCGATTTTTCTAGTAGCATGGGCCTTTCCTTTTGTAATTTGTCATTTTAATTTTCACACTTTATCTTGTAAGTACACTTTCTTCATTGTACTTGTTTTCTTCTAGCCTCACCTGAATGAAATATTCTTGCCAATGATCAAAGCTTACATGTTAAGCATATGAAAACCTTACCAAATGTACATCAATCATTGGAACCTCAGGACTCTTCCGGTTTATTACAAGGAGCCACGGAATAAGAAATTTCTCCCTGCCAACTTGGAAAGATCTGCATACACAGCAATCCTAATAACATGTCTGGAATTCCATTGCATTTCCAGAAGAAAAAAAAAAACACTAATGGGTCATATCAGAGGATAGCAAGGGTTGCAAGGAAAAAAAAGGAGCTATATAAATAAATATTAGGAATTCAAGGAAAATGACATACCAATAAAAAATTTAAAAGAAAATAAAGTTAAAATGATTTCTGGTAAAGAAAGTGTACTCTAAAAACACAAGATTGCATATCTTAATGTTAAATTGGATGAGGCCACCAGTATAATATGTTTTCTGGTTCATTGTAGTAATATGGTGAAAACATGCAAATGAGTGCATAGCATATAAAAAAACAATTTCAAGAAAGTAGAAGGCATGTTAAATATAACAAAATAAATCCCCAACATGATCTCTGAGTTAAAAATAAAAATGCAAAGTTGAAACTAAGGGCAGATGTTTCAAAATCACAACATTTTAAGATGGATATGGTACAAATACGGTATAGGCAATGCAAATTTCGAAACAAAAGGTGTAGAAATGAGAATAAAATTAAGATTGATTACCGGAAGATACCTAAAAGTGACCATTTACTCTAGCCCCTTTTTCTGATTGATACTAGTAATATTTTCTTGATGATATAGTTGTCAAAAGACAAAATCCATTCTGAGAAGCTGACTGAAGAGCAGGATGATTTGGATAAACCATTAGAGAAAGAGAAGGTGTGTGGAGGATCATGAAGGAAACGGATGAGAACAAATCCCTGGGGGAAAGTGGTTTTACTATGTTGTTTTGCAAGAATTTCTGGGATGTTGTGAAGAAATGAGGGGTTTGGAGAATTTCCATAGAAATACATCCATTTGAAAGAAGCCTAATTGCAATTCACAACATTCATCTCTAAAATAGGCAAGCAGGGGAGCTGAAAGGTTTCAAGCCAATTAGTCTGATTGAATTTTCTGTAAAACTTTGGTGAGATTTCTTGCATCTAGAATGAAGAGGGTGGTATCGTTCGCTATATCCAAGTCTAAAGTGCATTTATATTAAACAGGAAAATTTTGGAATTTTGTTCAAATGGGACCCGGCCAGTTTCTTCAGGAGTTCTAAAGGGATCAGGCAAGGTGGCCCACTTTCACCCTTATCATTCATTTGTGTGACAGAAGCTCTGACTAGACTTATGGCAAAAGCAGCAGGAGGGCACAATCTTGAGAGGTTTGTGGTGAGGGTTGTGTTTGATAAGATGGAGTTACTTAACTTTGCAGATGACTATATTTTTTTTTGGATAGTTCACAAGGTCACCTAAGGTATTTGAATTTTGAAAGGGATCATATGATGGGATCCTGCTCACCACAAGAGTGTTCTTCGAGGGAGACTTTGCCTCCTGAAATCAGAGAATTAGACAGATTGAGAGAGAAAAGAGGAAGAAGAAGAAATTGGGAGTTGAAATGGAATAGGTCGATGCCTTTCTTGTTATCACTTGTGCTATTTATGGATGTCGGTTACATCACCAGTGGATACTGGGCCTTCTTGTGAGCTCCCCTGATGTACACATGTTTAATGGGCCTCATTAGGCCATTCACATTATCATTCTTATTAACAGCCCCATCATCATACTTCTAGTTTGAAGTGATTTCAGGCCTGATAGGCAATATATTTGCCTCCAGTAATCTCAGCTTATTTTAAAAAGTAATTCTGGTTAGGCAAGTTAAGGGTGTAGAAGATCTATCCAGAGGCGTCATATATCTTCCTACTCAATATTTAGATCTATCACCTTGGAGCCAAGTGCACATCAGTCTCCATCTAGGATCTTGTTTTGGAGTGGCTTCAAAGGAGATTATCATCATGGAGAGCATAATCTCTTTCAAAAGTAAATAATATTGATTAAAAATGCACTAGAAAATTACTGCTTGTTATCTTTCATTTATACCCATGGATGAGGTGGAAGGAAGAGAACAAATTCCATTTGGTGGATTGAAACAAACTGTGCTCCTCAAAGGATGGAAATTAAGGATAAGAAGATTGAAGATAATAAATACAAAGTGGCATTGGCATTATAGTGAAGAAGTGGGGAGTTGGTTAAAGCTAAATATGGATCACTGAATGACAATGGAGATGTAGATTAGACCAACTGTGTAACTCCTTGTATGATTGTTTGGTTTTGCAAAGGCATTGACAAAATGTATGATTCCTTCATAAAAGGTGTAATAGAAGAACCTGTGGTGTGACATCAAACCACTGTCATTGGAGTCTCTTTACGCAAGCTGTTCATGAAGAGGAAAAGGTTTCTAAACTCTTTGAAATGGTGGATGGAAGAATAATTTGGAGGCCATGTTTCCATAAGAATTCGCAGGATTGGAAAATTAAGGAAGTAACAATATTTCTGCTTAAGCTTCAAGGACAGTAAATTAATCTTGATGCAAGTGATATAACTTGGAACAGGAGGAGGTTTGTTAATTCACTGGGATCATTTATAAAGAACTTGATTCCTGCTAGTAACTCCTAGTTTCCATACAAAAACATTTCAAAAACTCAGGCACCATCTAAAATAGATTCCATGCAATGGACAGCAGCATTAGGCAAATGCTTAACTTGAGACAAACCTGTTTCCATAGGTATGAGATTCCTAGTGCTGGTTGCAGCTTCTGTATCTAGGATCTAAAGACAGCAGTCCATGTCATTGTGCATTGCCCATTTAGTTACAGAGTCTGGGCGCATTTTTTTGGATCTTTCTTTTTTTTTGGGAAAAAGGTAAAGTAATATTTATTCAAAGCAACACATACAAGCTGTGATCAGACCCAGAAAGGCAACCTGAACAACACAGCAATTACATACTCCACCAGGAGTTAGAACGAAATAAAACAGACAAATTCAAGTTTCTAAACTCCTCAGAAACTGACACCCAAGAGATTAACTTGCCCACAGCTTTCTGAATTAAGTCTTCTGGACTCTTAGCCTTATTACAGAAAAACCTACTATTCCTCTCAGCTCAAATGGACCACAAGACAGCACTAGGAATAGTCCTCCACACTAATTTCCTTTTCTTGCATAGACCTTTGATATTCCAGCAACAGAGGAGCTCCTTTACTGATCTTGGCATAGTCCAGCTGATGTTCATGGCTTTGAGAAAATAGTCCCACAACTGAGAAGAAAATGGGCAGTGAATGCACAGATGGTCTGTTGATTCAGGAATACTCCCACAAAGACCACAAGATAGATCCAATATTTGAATGCCCCGTCTCACAAGGTTAGCTCTAGAAAGACATTTATCCAGAGCCATAGTCCAAATCAGAAAGTTGATTTAGATGGACTAATAGGGTTCCAAACCTGAGTACATGGGAAATCAGTGTCACCCATTCTGCAAAGCTTAGATGCCAATGTTGACAGAGAAAACACCATCCAGATTCCACTTCCAGCACCACTTGTTTTCTGAGACAATGTCAACCTTTTGTTTCTGGAGAAGAGTCAGCATATTCACTCTCTTCAAGCTCCCAGTCAAAGAGATTCCTTCTAAAGAGAGGGGTCCAAGTAACAGAATCTCCAGTCAAGCTACAACACTCAGCTACAGATGCCTCTTGATTAGAGGCACACTGAAAAAGAAAAGGAAAAGACTCAGCAAGAGAACCATCCAAGCACCAAGGATCCATCCAAAACTTAGTTCTATTTCCATTACCAACCTTAATTGAAATCACATCCATTAGAACAGAATAGTTCTTCATTATCCCTTTCCACAGAGAATTTCCCCAACTTGGAGGAGGATCCCTAGATCTCCAGTTGCCCCACTCCACCCCATATTTACCAGCTATGAGGGATCTCCACCAAGCATCACTTTCAGCCACAAACCTCCAGATCCACTTACAAAGGAGAGCAGAATTAAAGCTCTTCAACTTCCTTATGCCTAAACCACCTTCAGCCTTAGGGAGACAAACTTGATCCCAATTGACAAGATGAATTATTTGCTCCTCATCCCAACCCCTCCAAAGAAAATTCCTTTAAAGCTTTTCAAGCCTTCTTGCTACTTTATTAGGGATAGGGAATAGAGAGAGGAAATAAGTAGGTAAATTGGATAGGGTGCTCTTTATCAAAGTAACCCTACCCCCAAAAGAAAGATATCTTGCCTTTCAAGATGCTAATTTTCTCTCCATTCTTTCAATAAATGGGTCCCAAATTGAAGAAAGCAAACAACTCGCCCCCAAAGGCAGACCCAAATATTTTACTGGAAGGGATTCAATCTAACAAGCCAATACCTCCGCACATTCAACCAAGTTGGTTACTTGCCCCCACTGGAATGATTTGACTTTTATTCCAATTGACTTTAAGCCCAGAGGTCACCTCAAACCAAGTTAAAATCCCAAGAACCAAATCCACCTAAGAAGGAGAAGCATCCACAAAACATAAGGTATCATCTGCAAATTGGAGAATATTAACCTTCTCCCCCTCAAGAGCAATTGCAAAACCTTCCCACTCACCAGACTCAACAGCCTTCTTACAAAACAGAGTAAGAATCTCCATGAGACAAATAAAGAGTAATGGAGACAGGGGGTCACCCTGTCTAAGTCCCCTGGAGCTATCAAAGAAACCTGCAGACTACCCATTAATCAAAACTGCAAATTTGGGAGAGGTAATACACACTTTAGTCCAGTTTCTCCATTTCTGCCCAAAATTCATATGCTACAACACAAGATCAACACACCTCCAATTAACATGATCATAGGCCTTCTCAATAACAGCCAAGTGTTGGATATGTGGAAGGTAAAGGGACTCAACAACATTAAAAATGGACTTATTGTTGATTTGGCATTTTTCTTCCTTCTAGGTAATTATTTGGGGATCACAAGAAATACAGATTGTATATTCATTTATTATAGTTACTAGGTAATGTGTTTCTATGTATCCAGTTTATTAAAGATCATGTATATCTATATATTCAATTTATTGATTATATTTTCTTCAGTGAGATCTTTATTCGGCAGCACTGGACGTGTTTTTTGCTAGAAGTTTTAATTGGAGGAGAAGTTTTAATTGGAGGCTATTGTCAAGCATTTGGCATCTAAGTTTTGTAACTAGGGAACTTTGTTATTCATCCCTTTGTTAGGAAATTACTTAGGTCAAATTAATTTGGTAACATGATGACTAAGATAGAAAATTATTCTGTCTGATTGTTCCATGATATCCAAGTGCATCAATTGAAAGTGCATCATAAATAAATGAAAGAAATTAGTTCTTACATTTTATAGGGATCAGCGCCAGTGTAACCTGTAGGTTTCCCTATTGGGATCAATACCTATCCATTACCAACAGGCAAAAAAACAAGATTACCCACCAAGAAGAAAGAGGATAGTTTTCTCCAAACACTAGAGCAAAAAATGACATAACAATTGATGAGCCTAAAGAGGATACCTCACGATTGACAGCAAAAATTGGGCAATGGCGACCAATCACATCGTGCCAAACAGTTCTCGACTGAAATTTGAAATGCATCGAGTTAGAAACTAAAGGAGGGGGGACGCACACATAAACAGAGATTTAGATGTATTTTTTGGTTCGAACCGAGTGGTATTGACCCATCTTGTTCATGGGAACGATATCCCCTGGCCTGTAAGATAGAGTAGTCGATGAGAGAGACAATACGCAGAAAGACAAGAAAACTATCACTCTTTCGTTGACGGAGATCCCGTAATTTCTCGCCATAACTGGAGAATAAACGCCGGAATGCTTTTCTTTTGTGCAGAAGCCAGAAGGGCCAAAATATTAACAACGTGCGTCTTCACTCTTCAGTATTACTGATTACTCCCCCTCATATCTCACATACTCTCGATCGCTTTATAAGAAAAATTATAAAAATCACCCCATATTTCTAACAATCGTAATAAACTTCTCTTTTTTTTTATTAATAAAAATTCTCCTTTATTTTGACCCTAACACAAACCACATGTTAAAACAATGGTTAAATAGTTAAAAATACCCTTATGGTTTAGCAAATGAAAAAAAAAAAAATTTACCCTGCTACTTAAAAAATTACTTGAAGATACTTTTAAATTTTCTAACAATAGAGATGACGGTAAATGTTAACGAAAAAATGAAATGTCAACATTACCCTTTATTATTTTTTAAATTTTCAAAATAAAACCAACGGTTGATTCTAATTTGCTGACGTGTTCATATCTATTCAGGACCACCGGCAATCACTCCTTCAAGAAAGTTTTTAGTCCTTGCAACAAAATCCACCGGCAAATTTGAACTGTCTGAAGAGGGGGAGAAGGAGAAGTTGAGAACAAGCTACGATTAACTAAAAAGTGACTGTAGGTTTGCATTGCCATCTGTGTCTCACTATGCTGCAGTGTTTGAAGGGTTTGGGGGATTTTTGAATTTCTTTTCTAGATCTGGGTTGCTTTCTGGATTTGAGTTTCAGGGCCTGATTTTTTCAATTGGGGACTTTCTCAGAATTTGGTTTTTGGTCTTTGGTGTGGGTTGGATTTTTGGGGTCGTGAATGTCTTGGGTTTTGCTTTAGTTTTCTTTTTTCGTGGATTTTTGGATGCGTACCGATCTTTGGTTTTCTAGTGGCTTTTGCCGGGGTGTCTCATGTCTGAAAAACTTGGACTTTGTGTGTTTTATTATCCAAGGGTATCTTTTCTTTTCCGCTTTCATTTTCTGTCTCGTTGATGATGTGATCCGCTTTGAATTCAGTCCTGAATTTTGGGTTCTTGGACTGAGATCTCTATTCACTCACTTTTTTCCTTTTGCGTTTCTTTTGAATCGAATCTTAGCAATCTAGTTATAGTTCTAAGCCTTGAAGATCTCTGGTTTCGTGCATTAAGGTTGTCGCTGAGTCTATTTTCCCTCCTTGCATTAGGGTTTTGATTTTTGAATTTTGAACACAAACCTAACCGACACTTGACTTCCTCCCCATTTCATTAGGGTATTTTCAATCCCAGTTTCATCTGATAAGACATTATTGTTGGATTTTATTTTGAAAATTTAAAGAATAATGAAGGGCAAATTTGACCACAAAGGGTAATTTTGGAATTTAAAAAAATTAGAGGTGCAAATCGGGGACCGGCATGGCCCAGTACAGCCCTTATATATTTATATATATTTTTATATTATATATAATATATATTTATATATATTATAAAAAATTATAATTATATAATATAATATATACAATATTAATAAAATAAACAGTTGTTTTCAATTTTATTATACTGTTTAATTTAATTATTGTATGTATAAATAATTGTATACATCAAAATTTATATAAAATAAAAATTTTAAGATTTTTTTTAAATAAATAGCTTTGGCCTAGTCCACGACCCGACCTGGCCTAAGGCTCGACCCACAACTAGCTTGGCCCGTGGCACAGCACGGGCCCGCGTGGAGCTCAAGCCATGCCAGGCTTAGGGAAGGCAATTTTCCCCATCCCCAACGAGGACCCCAACTTCTCCAACCCGATGGGGTTGGGGATGGGGATTGTTTTGGTAGTGTGGGGACGCGAATTAATAGGAATCCCTAGTCAGGGTTGGGGTCGGAGATGGGGATTGAGGTCCTTGCCCCGCCCCGACCTCGATTATATATATTAAATGTTATTTATATTAAATATACTATTATATTATTTATATTATATATAAACATATTTAAAAACAATATTTATAATTTAAAATTTTTATTTATTTTAGGTAATTTATTTTAAAAATATTGTTATCTGAAAACATTTTGAGGATTCGGGTCCCCATGAGGAACCCATCGCCATCAGGGATTGGGGATGGAGGACAAATTTTATCCCTGACGAGGATCGGGGACAGGGATGGGATTAATTTTAGAATCGGGGTTGGGGATGAGGAATATGACCCCCGCCTCCAAATCCACCTTGTTGCCATTCCTAGCCGGGCTGACCCCCCAAAATATCCTAGGGGAGGGAGGCACAGCCTGGGATGGCTCGTGGGTCAGCACAACTCAACCTGCACTTTGCACGATGGGCCATACACAGGCCATACTGTGCTGGCCCAGCATGGCCCATTTTATACCTCTAATAAGTCACATGACATCATATATGAACACATTATAACAGCCTACTAACGG